AGGTCCCTGCCCCAGGCCCGTGTCCCATGCTCTTCTCTCCTCTCCCCTCTGCAGACCAACTTCTCCCTGGCCATCCTGAACGTGGGGGCCCCGGCGGCTGGCATGAACGCGGCTGTGCGCTCAGCGGTGCGGACTGGTATTTCTCAGGGCCACACAGTATATGTTGTGCACGACGGCTTTGAAGGCCTGGCCAAGGGTCAGGTAGGTGTGGCTGTGACCAGGGCCACCTCCGGAGGCTCGAACTTGCTTGTCAGGCTCATTGGTAGCCGGCCTCTCCATTGTGGCCTCTCCACAGACACATGAGAATGTGAGGCTTGCAATATGGAGGGTCTGGAGCAGCCCCACCCTGAGCACGGGCTGGCCCTACCTGAGAGGAGTTGGTGAGAGCCTCACCCATACCTTGATGCCATGCTTCCTTCTGACAGGTGCAGGAAGTGGGCTGGCACGATGTGGCCGGCTGGCTGGGGCGTGGTGGCTCCATGCTGGGGACCAAGAGGTGAGCTGGTGGGTGCAGGCAGCTGGGGGCAGGAGGGCCTGGGGCAATCTGCAGGCTCCATGTGCTGGGAGCAGCAAGGGGAGACCAGCCCAGTGGCCCTGTGCTCAGCCCCTCTTTTGGCTGGTGGCCTGCCCAGAGTGGACTTCACACTGTCCTGCTGGGACCTCCTGGTTACCTATGTAGGGAAGGTGCTGTGTGGCAGGGAAGCCGGGGCAGAGGCTGGTTGTTCCCGCCTACACTGTTGCTCTGGCTGTGGGCTGGTTTGATGGTGTCCGCCCTAGGGCCTGATGGGCTCTGCATGGGCCTGAAACCCCCTTGGGTTGGGCATAGGGAGGGCATAGCCAGCCGTGTGACTGTGGGGGAGGCTGCATTATTCCAAGCCTGAGAGGTTCCAAGGTCTGGATGGTGTTCCTTCCTGCTGCCATGTGTCCATAGATGCCTCGGTCAGGAGGAGATGCCCACAGGCAGGGCCTCAGCAGGGAGGGGTCGCCCAGCGCCTGGTTGGGCATCATGAGGATGCTGAGCAGTGCCCACTGCGTCTAGGTGGCCGATTAGTGCTCTGCCATTCATGCTGAGGCCTGCTAATTCATGGTCAGACACGATATGGCGTGTGTCCTGCAAAGCTGCCTTCACACTGCTGTGTCTCTGACTGCAGGACACTGCCCAAGGGACATATGGAGTCGATCGTGGAAAACATCCGCACCTACAGCATCCATGCCCTGCTGGTCAT